TTGTTTGTTACGCTTTCACTAAACCACCAAAAAAAAAAATATTCACCAGTGGAAAGCTGCATTACCAGCAAGTAACATAAGCTACTTTTTACCACGAAAACCGACGCCGCCGAACCGCGAGCAAAGCTTATTCATATTTTTTTTCCTCTTTTATCATTTATTACCAAAAAGAAAAGTACGAAATATGTGATACATTGCCGGTGGCCCCACACTAGGCAAGCCTGTCCTGTGGGTGCTAGTTGCGATTACACATTTCGCTATACATTATTGTTCGGTATAATATAATGGTCGTAATAATAGGTCTTTACCTATGAAATTGCCGTTTTGTATGCAATAAGTGAAAGTACTTATTTTTTCAAACTTTTTTATTTCTGTTATTCGAAGTAATCACCCATGCAATCGACGCATCTTTGCCAAAACAAACACAAAACGACAATTTCATAGGTAAAGACCTAATAAGTATGGATTGTAAATAGTGATTTTCTTTACCTAGTTATTGTGTTTGTCATTTTCTTCAACAGTTGGAGCTGGAAGACGACAAACCTATGCTGGTCTGTTACATCTGTCATGGCAGACTCAGCAATTGTTACCGGCTGAGGAGGGACTGTATCCAAAGCGACCAATTGTTCACACAGATATTAAACGGTCAAATTTAAATACAATCGAACATTTTTAATGATAAAATGTGAAAAAATACGTCTGTGTTTCTTTGTTATTCCAGGCCCATAGGCCTGTCTGCACAGAGATATTTCATAGCACGTTTTTGTTGGCAAAATTCTGTGACACATGGGACTACTCTCATCAGCGGAAAAACGTCTGATTTGATGCAAATTGACCGCGATACGGTGTTGATTTATTTCCGAGCGAATGTTTTTTGTGGAATGGCTATTCGCGGTGCGTACTGCGTGTATTGCCGATCGTGGAATATAATTGGTGAGAATAAAAATCTAGCAATGAAATATCGCTTTAAGAACGGTCCACAATGACTCGTTCTGTGCTAAGCGAATCATTATAGGTTATATTTCTACCCACAACAAATAATTGGGAACTTTTGTTTTTTTCTATGTCTGGGTGTCACTCACTATGAACAGTCTGCTCATCATACCCTCTGGGAATGTAGTCTTTGGTATAATGAACGTAATATAATGCTGAATAGCTTGCAGGTGTCATCTGGGGCGGTATACTATGGGGATCTGGTGTCAACTAGGGTGAATTTCCGTGCGTTTAGGCGATTCTGCCATACATATTATAGAAATCAAATATAGCTCACCTGGGACCCGTAATATTTTGTGGCCCTGCTGCTTGCTTCCCTGTTTAAAAGGGTGTATGCCTGTTTTACTTCATTTTGTCTCCGGCTTTGCTAAGGAGGGAAGTGGATTTACTGTATTTCCAACTCCTCCGATTTTCTTCTGATTAATTTCGTTACGGGTTCCAAGACAGTTTAATTTCTTCCTGGGACTGCCCGAGTGTTATAACTCGGTGTGTTCGTGGGTCACTGCTTTGGATCCTGGTGTGCAGGAGTTACAGTGGTGGGCGTGTGGGTGAGATTAGTCCCATATGTCTGGGTGAAAATTACTTATTTATTATTTACTTATTTATTATGTCATTATGTATTCATTATTAATATAGTATGTCATCACTTATGTCGTAATGTCGAATGTTAATATACTGTGTGGGAATGTCGCCGACATTCAAACTATTTTTGTACTGCAAAAGAAAGTGATATCCCCGCGCGTGTCTGCCCGTTTGGGTTGTTTTGTTCTAGACGAAACTATCCCGTTGAAAGTCAAGCGCGGCGAATGTAGGTACCTACTATTACATTCGGCTTGGCACCGAATTCAAACCTATCAATAGGTAGCACATGCAAATAATAGTATTTTATTAATATTAAAGGTTTGCTTAGGAGATGTATTAAATTAAATCTATATAAAGTTATTTTACAATTTTTAGTTTTTGAAGTCGGTTTTTTAATCGTAGTTTTTTTTTTTGTTGTTTGTTACTGGTAGAATACACATTAATTAAATAAACTACAAATGACATTCGATACACACTAAAATGACTAAAATGCCGGTAATTTATAATTTAGGCCATCGTTGTTCTTTGAGGCAAAAATTTAAAGAAATAAACATAATGACAGTGGCATGTCAAGATATATATGAAAACGTAATATATGTTCATAAAAACAAGGATTGCTTTTTAAACAGAAGTCATGTACATTCTTTAAATACCAGAAGTAGAAATAAACTTGTAGTACCCGCTTCTAGGCTCCAAAAGATAAACAAGTCGTTTCGAGGTCAACGTGTTCGATTTTATAATAAAATCCCAAATAATATTCAATACTTAAGTATTAACAAATTGAAAATCCGCAATAAAACGTAAATTATGTCAGAAAGCCTATTATTATTGTTGATTACATAGAAGACAAAAATGCTTGGGATTAATTTAGTTCAGGCTATTTCTTAAGTGGAATGTGATGTGGGCTAGTGGTGGTGGCAGTGGGATCTTGTATAAATTTATTTGCTTACTATTTGACAAAACAGAGATTGTTACTTTTGTGTGTGTTGATCTATGACTTTAGAGTCTACATAAAAGACGATTTCAAACAATTTTAATTTTTTTATGAAATAAAGAGAGTTTGAGTTTCAGTTTCTTTGCCGAATTGTTTAATTCAGTAAATAAAAAATCTAATTTCGGTAGAAATGTTTTATTCATACCAAGTAAAACTTATGTCCAGCAGTGGACTATTAAAGGCTGTTGATGATGATGATGATGATGAAGTAAAACTTATTAGGTACAGAGTTATTGGTACACATTTTACACATTTAATAAGTTTCTATAGCTATCTGCCATACTAAAACTAATTTATTTTAATATTAAATTATTATTTATATACTTTATAGTACATTCGCAATAAGAAAATAGTGACGTATCCATAAAATGACCAATCAAGTTCAAAGTATTTTTTTACTTTACAAACATACATGAAACGGACACAAAGGACACCCAGACTCAGAGCAACAATTTGTGGATCACAATACGTGTTGTCCCATCTGGGGATCGAAGCCACAACACCCAGGCGCAGTAGGAAGCGGCGAGGTGACCGCTTAAACCAAGTCATAAAATTATCGTTTTGTACGAAAGTTTGGGACCAGATTGGTCTGGGTACGGGGCTGGATTGATGTGTCACTATTTTCATAAAGCGAATGTCATATTAACAGCAATAACTGTATTCGATCAAAAGAAAAATATTACACGTGTGCGAGCCATATCATTATTATTTCTATGGTACAAGGGGGTAGGCAGGCAGGTCTGTAAGGTACTGGCAAGTGACCCCATGGACCTACAACTCAAGGGCGTCGATGAATAAGTGCTACCCCCTCAAGGAACAGGGCGGAAGGAGGGAAAAGTTTGAGTCTCCGGTATTCATTTTTCGATTTTTGAAGCACCTTTGAATACAACTCTTACAGGTTTTTCATTTGTAAAGTGACCATCGAGACTGAGCAGCACTGATATATGAAAGCAGACTAGAGCTATTCGCTAATACCTATGATGGGGCATCCGCCCTAGGCGGCAGTTTCAAGGGGCGCCAAAATCATGATAGCATAGCATAGGGCCTAGCATACGAAAGCCTGGTTGGCAGACCGTCGACTTGTAAGAAAAAGACGCCACACAGGCTCACAATACAAGTGGATAAAAGAAAAGTGAAGTTATATATTTGTGAGTTTTTTAAGTAATATATCTCAAACGCTGGAGAGAGGGTCCACTATCTGGTGGGTAGACCACTATCAATTTTCTGCCCCATCTCGAAAAAATCGTAGATCCGACCCAATACTCAAACACTACTCAATTTTAACGAGTCCATAAAACTATCTCACTACACTCATATTCGAGTATATATATACCTAATATACCTCTTTTTACCACCCCATTTATGTACATGTGTATTCCTCGGGAGGAATACTTATTTTGTTACATCAACGTACTCAAAGTATTGGATACCTGGTATTCAGGATTTCGTACCAGTACCGCACTATAGTATATGAACACAGTACCTACTTTTAATGTCGGTAAGACCAACGTAGGAATTACTGAACAGTAGGCATGGGATAATCGCAATCTACTGTGATTAATCATATGATTGTAAAATCACTTCATCACAGCTGTGACTAATCTACAACGCTAGACACGCGAATGGTCGAAATAAAAAAAAAAGGTCGGTTTGATTGGTTTTGATGGCAGTAATTTTTGTCTATGACCAAAACAGGTACAGGTTCTCAGAATACGAGAATGACTCAGTCTGGGCACCTGTGCGCAATCATCTTAACCGTACAACAAATTATTTAAATACTAGATGTTGTTGTTATTGCAACGTGTATTTTATGTGTAGGTACATCTGTTCTATATTAAGCATATATGTATTTTTGTACAGTCTGTGGAAATAAATATTATTATTATTATTATAATCTAAGTAGCGATTTCTTAGAGGTGAAATCACTGTGACTAAAACCAATCATTTCTACAAATGAATATGATTTAAATGTAACAATAATTTCCATGTCTAATTAACAGTGGGTTTCTGTGAGGCTGTGGTACCTCTGAGGTCAAGCCGGTCCATTTTACTGAAGCATGGCACTTTACGTACAAACAATTTAGTATAGCATCTTTTATTGCACACAACACATTGCACTGTTTACAAAAAATAAGGAAATATTATGTAAAAAGCCAAACTTATGTAAAATAATAAAATATTATTTAAAATTATGTATCCGTGTAGTGTACGGATTGGGAATACGGAGTGTCACCACCGCTATTCATCCCGTTGGTGTCGTAAGACCCGACTTATGGGGCATACTACGCAAGACAACAGCACTGCAAAGAGAAGGAGAACTTGGAAGGCCAGCGTGGTATAGTAGGCCAAAACCTCCTTTCTAAGTAGAGGCCTATGTCCAACAGTTGACTGGAAAGGCTGTTGACGATTCCAGAAAGATTTGAGATTCGCTCTATTGATGTCTAAGGATGTGTTTCCTGAAATAATACTGATCACCGTAACATTTATGACAGATATCACACTCGTAGGGTTTCTCACCACTGTGCACACGAAAATGAGTTTTTAAAGTACTTTTATCACCGAAATTTTTACTACATATGTTACAACTAAAAGGTTTTTCACCAGTGTGTATGCGCACGTGAGTGTTAAGAGAACTCTTAACACTGAAACACTTTTTACATATATTACACTGATGGGGTTTCTCACCAGTGTGTGTACGCATATGATTATTCAATGTGGTTTTCGCAGTAAAAGTTTTATTACACACGTTACATTCGTGTGGTTTTTCACCTGTGTGTGTCCGTATGTGTCTTCTCATAGCACTTTGATTGGCGAAACATCTCTGACATATAGTACACTGGTATGGCTTTTCACCGGTGTGTGTACGCATGTGTCTATTCAAATTATCTTTCTGATTGTAACTCTTTCTACACACAAAACATTCGAATGGTTTCTCACCCGTGTGGGTGCGTGTGTGTGTCTCCAAATTACTTTTTAAACTGAAACTCTTTTGACATATACCGCATTGAAATGGTTTCACACCAGTGTGTGTACGCATATGATAATTTAAATTACTCTTTACACTGAAACCTTTTTTACACACGGGACACTCGTAGGGTTTTTCGCCGGTGTGTGTACGGATATGCTTTTTTAAACGTCCTTTTGAATTAAAAGATTTATCGCAGGTATCGCACCCATGTGGTTTAGTATTGTTTAAATTATTTTTAACACTTAAATCTAAACCAAGCTTGTCGCCTGTGTCTTTGTAATCACTTTCTGTGTACACTATCGTCTTTTTTGTTTTGCTGTCTCTATGTTTGTACTGTCTGATATTTTTTTTATCATAATCTTTACTTCTTTTACTTTTGGCGGCAATCTTATGTCTTAATGTCCTTTTTTTATTACTATTTATGCTAGATTTAATTGCGGGTGTTTCTTCAACGTCTTCATTGTCTTCTTTATTTAAAATTAAATCTTCAGAATTGTCGTGCATTTTCCCAGGAACAGGTTCATCTAGAAAATAAAAAACGTTAGTTAGTTCTGTAGTTTAAGCACCAACTTGTATTTTTCAGGAGACAATATTTACGTCCTAAATCACTTGTAGGAGTGGTATGTTTTTTATTTACTAGTGTAATATTAAATAGCCTATTTATTTTCGGAATAAATACTCTGTACATATAATACAAAAAGTTTTTTTTTTAATCGGCAGGTAGTTCTAGGTCCAGAGATTAGCTAAACACAAATAAATAAAAACTCTTCAGCATTTCTACATTCATAAAAAAAAAAAATTGTGTACCACTATGGTATGGTTTTGCGCGGACAGATCCAAAAACACGCATTGCAAGAGCTTTCTTTTTTAACAGACTTCAAAAAAAGGAGGAGGTTCTCAATTCGACTGTATTTTTTTTTTATGTTTGTTACCTCAGAACTTTTGACTAGGTGAACCGATTTTGATGATTTTTTTTTATTTGAAAGCTGGTGCTTCCCGTGTGGTCCCATTTCAATTTGGTTTAGTTCTGATAATGGCATCCATGAGAAAACCATATGTCTTAAATTTGCATTTAGTATGTTCGCGACAAATAGACGAATAACTCAATATCACGCAAACCGATTTAAATAATTCTCTTTTTATTGGAATGGATATACTTTAAGGGTACTTTGATGAGAGTTTGGTTAGATTCTGATCATGGGATCCACGACAAAGTAACGGAACTCTTCAATTCTTAGGAGCAAATTAACGATACTCGGCTGAATCTTTTATAGGCTATCCGCATATTTGAGTCACCTACAGTAACGTCGTTATGGTCAAGTAATTGTCGTCATCAACAGTCTTTAATAAGCTACAGCTGGACATAGGCCTCTCCTTAGAAAAGAGGTTTTGGCCTACTATACCACGCTGGCCAGACGCGTTGGTATAGGGTTTATTTCAAGTTTTCCTTCTCTTTGCAGTGCTGTTGTCCAGCGTAGTTTGCTCCCGGTAGGTGCAAGGTCTGGTGAGTATGGCGGATTAGGGAGAGCTTCCAACCCCAGCTCTTGCAGCTTGGAGACTGTCTGTTGCGCAGTATGGGGTCGCGCGTTGTCGTGAAGGAGCAGTGGGGACGACCGATTGACCAAAGCTGGTTGCAGATGTGACCACCAGACCTTGCACCTACCGACTATTACTTTTTCCAAAATTTAGACAACTTTTTAGTGAGTAAAAAATTCAATTCCCGAGAGGCAGTACAAAATCATCAATAAACTGAAAGAAAGAAAGAAAGAAAGAAAGAAAATACGTTATTAGTCACAACACAAATACAGCCAAAAAAGGGATTACAGATATAACATTGATGAGAAAAAGAAAAGAAACAATTTGCACAACTGAAAAATAGCACAAACAATAACAAAAACAAACAAGTACAAAAGAATAAAATGATCACTGTGTGTGACTAAAGGGCCACAACTCAGCCTATGCTATAGTCCCTAAAAGTGACCACAGCGCTGATTTTCAGCTGAAGCCCAAAGGTACCTCACGGACGTGTGCACAGTTCAATTACAATAAACAATATGTGAATACAATAAACATACAAATAAAAGTGATAATTACATACATTAATTACACAACATACATTCTGTTAATATAATAAAGACAATAAAAATAATAATAATATAACTGCCAATGCGTTGGCAAAGATGCGTCGATTGCATGGGTGATTAATTCGAATAACAGAAATAAAAAAGTTTGAAAAAATAAGTACTTTCACTTATTGCATACAAAACGGCAATTTCATAGGTAAAGACCTATTATAATGTAGTTATAATTATTGTTATTTTTGGAGTCGGTGTCAGCCAAGGAAACACTACGATATACCTAGCAATAATAATACGAGAATACTTTAAGACTCGTCAAATCGCGCGTGCGACACAAGCACTTCTCATTTATAAGGTGTAGGTGACACCGACTTGTCTGTGTATGATCTGCATATATTTGTTTCGGAGTTTGGGTGTTTTCTTTGTATTATATGTATGTATTTACGAGGTATATAAGTATTCTATCAAACAATCTATCTTTCATAGTACAATCTCTGCTTAGTTTGAAACTAGATGGCGTTACGTAAAAAAGGCGCTCATTTTTGTAATAAATATTAACATTAAAATAGTGAGTATCGTGTAAACATTAATATTTTTTTAACAATATAACATTTACTTAACTATCTTTTCTGGTGTTTTATTCTAAAGGGGTAACAAAATCCAACACACGGGCCTTAGCCAAGTATGCTAAATAATTTCTTATCACATCACTACCCTGTGTAAGTTTTCTTGTATGATATCTTGTTACACACTTCCGTCCCTAGCGGAAGTGTGTTACACATAAAATGAACCTTCCTACACTTACCATCAGTCGCTTCAATCTTGACAATCTCCACAGATATATGTTTACTCACATCTAAGAAAGTACACTGAGCTGGTACTTCCACGAACGAGGGTCGGGGACACTCTTCTGCGCCTGCTTCTACTTTAGTACAGAGTTTTATTGCTGTAAATAATATATAAGAAACTTAATAAAAAAATCCAGACAAGTGTAAGTCGGCAGACAGTTTAATTTCTTCCTGGGACTTCCCGAGTGTCATAACTCGGTGTGTTCGTGGGTCACTGCTGTGGATCCTGGTGTACAGGAGTTACAGTTGTGGGCGTGTGGGTGGGATTAGTCCCATAAGTGTGAGTCGAATTTGTAAGTACACATTATAAATAGTTCTGGAAACGAGTCAACAGAACTAATGTAATAATATTGTTGTTTATTGACCTATTTATGTTGCCCTTGTAAACATAACGATGGTGACATCTAATTCGACATGAACGCCATCTATCGAGCTTTTGGTCAATATTGTACATAATTGCCTGTTGAACACTTATCCTGAGTAGGAATTGAAACCAACCTCTGGTTTATCAGCATTACTTACTATTATACCAATAGGTCAATAAAAAATTAAAAAAATAAAACGACTGGTTGCACTCCGGGAGTGCCGGCAGAAGTGAAAACTTGAATATTAACGTTGTGCATTTTTGATACTTTGGAATGGTTAGGGAATAATTTTGCACGAATTGCTTTAATTATCAGTATGAAAGTACTATCATTTATGTGGTAGAATACAATATTTATTTATTGCGCTATCGTACACAAACATGACACAATTTATCGAGACGCTGTCACCATCCATGGATGCGCGTGGCACGCTGTAACATAAACAAACACGAACATTCGCGCAAGCGCCCTGCGCCGCCTAAACGAAACAGCAGGCGCTGGCATACATTTTCGTCTCGCCGTAGAAAGAGAGGGGGATACTTCCTCTCCTACGCCGCACCGGATGTCTACTCTCCACCGTCTTACGAATTTTCGATCAGGTCACGTGTCCTGACGCGAGTTTATCATTTTTTACCCATTACAAAAAAGTGTACAACGCCGCTAAAGAAGCTGCAATTATACTTAGTTTAACTAAGTCGCACTAAGGTTATTCAAATATCCACTCACTTGTTTGAGGATTATCGGGTTCCTTCATAACTATTTCCAGATTATCATAAATTAATCCTCGAGATTCCACATCATCTGCACTTTCATCTGTAAATGAAATACACAGTTTAATTTAATGAAAGTTCAAACAACTAAGTATCTGTGTGGTGACTGATCAGTACAGTGTGTCACTAGCACTATTCATCCCGTGTGTGTTGTCGAACCGAGAGCCAATTAAGGGGACAACAGCACTGCAAAGGGAAGGAAAATTTGACTCCAACCCCTATATAAACCTGTCTGTCCAGACTGGTATAGTAGGCCAAAAACCTTCTTACTAAGGAGAGACCTATGTCCAGTAGCGGACTATTGTAGGCTGTTGATGATTCAAAAACAAATGCATAACAATTTTAGATATTAAATATTGTAGTAGTGTAGTATGAATATTGAATATAGCAGACAGTACTTTTAGACTAGTAAAGTTAAGTTCGGGACTGGATCGGGCCAAATGCACCGAATCGAATCTCGAGATGGACGCATTATTTTCGCATAATTTTTTTATTGTTTAAAAAGGGAACTTTTGTTTAAGGAATCTATCCTGAGTCTGTCAGATAGATTCCTAAAACAAAAATCTAAATCTATCAGAGACTCAGAACAATAATTTGTGCATCACACAAATTGTTTTTCCATGTGGGGATCGAACCCACAACATTCAGCACAGTAGGAAGCGGCGTGGCGACCGCCTAAATAACTACCATGAAGCCATTTGTACGGAACCCTCGGCATGCGTTCGCAGGAAGCCATACTTCGACACAAATGGCAGAAAAAAACATGGACTCACAGAAAACCGCTTCTAACAAGGTACAAGGTTACCAGAGCGTTTTTGGTAGTTTATGTATTTGGATGTTTAACTTACCGTCCGAGTCCTCAGGTTCTACTTTGACACTGCAAGCCATGTCATGGTTTTCTTTTCTAGCAGTATTTGTATTTTGTTCAAGCATATTCAGCAGACTTCTGAGAAGTGGATAAACCAGTTGAATCCAATAACTGTTGGTCACCTTACTCTCTGGTTTCCAGGTTTAACTGTTAACAATTGACAATGGTTGCCTATATTATTGTTCATAATAAAAATAACTTCCCACATCTCGCACACAGCCGTCTGATCTCAAACTAGGCTAATCCTTCCCAGCAGTCAGGGTCACTAACCACCAGGCCAACAGGCTAATCAAATTATATACAACACAAAAAAGGTATTGTTGAACTATGGATGCAAGAATTTTAAGTACAAGCTCTGCTTAGTTTTGTAACTAGATGGCATTGTGTCAATGTCCGAAAATATTATTAAAACACAAAACATTTTAGCAAACCCAAAAACTGAAGTGGCCTAAAAATCGATTGAGAAATTGAAAATTTATTGACATTGATTGTTAACTAAAACCTATCTATCACACACACACACACACACACACACACACACATGAGCACACAAATGAGGATATTTTCAACCTTTTCGAATTTTTCCTTTATTTGTGCTGTACGACCTTGCTTTTTGCGAAATTTCGTGATTCTAGGTTAACAGAAACTACCATATAGGTTTTTGATATAAAACCTTTAGTATAGTTCCGGTTGACCCAGTTTTTTTTTTTTTAAAAGACAACTCTCGCACTAGGAATAAATCCTGTCACAAGGGTCTTTACAAACATACATGAAATGGACACAAAGAACACCCAGACTCAGAACAACAATTTGTGAGTCACACAATGTCCCATGTGGGGTTTGAACCCACAACGCTGTCACTGTCTCAGGACCTTGATTTTTATACACCTAATAGGAACTATAGACCTCAGTATCTGGTATAAATTTCAACTTGCTAGGTTCAACTGTTCCTGAGAAAATTGGTGGTGACACATTGACAAACAGACGGACAAGAAAGTGACCTTATAAGGGTTCCTTTTTTACCTTCTGAGGTACGGAACCCTAATAATAGTATATATATGTGTGTATAATTGTATATATTTGTATTTATGATGTTTTGTGTTGTATATGTGTATGTATAAGTTTAGGTATATAGCGAAACGTTACATATATTTTCAGTGATTACTTAATATATTAAGACGTAACCTCTGTACACCTTACAAGATTTCTACACAACCCAAAGGTTGAATTGAAGAGAATGCCCTAGGCATTAAGTTCGCCGGTGTCAAAAGTGCATAAAGTTAAATAAATAAATAAACTGAGATAACTTAATTAATAAAATTATGGTTTACTGTCATAGTAACAAATTGTATTTCTGTGAGTACTTGTTTTTAAGTTCGTATGCAACTTTAGTTATAATAGCCTCTATGGGCTACACAGTATGTTAATTTTGTATCATTAGTGAAGTTCAAATCGATTTGAAGCTTATTAGAATTTAAAAATAAAAATATATCTGTTGTTTATTAGTAAAAAATCTTACCAGGTCGTAAAAAAACCAAATAATTCACTAATACTTTTTACATATAACAAAAAACTGATTTTTTTCTTTATTGTTTAGTTTTGTGACCAGTTATTTGTGTCCGTCTATATTTTAGAATTTATAAGCACTGCACTATTTTGGTAACACTAATTATTGTTAGCGATATAAATAAACAAATAAACACACACTACATTCGAAATTCCGACGTCAAACATAGATAATACTATGCATCTTTTGCTATCACAGACAGAACAACATCTTTTTTCATATTTTCTTGTTTAGAGTTATGTCCTTTAGCCAAAGCAGAGCTTTTGACAAGAGGTTCATGAAAGTTACTAGTACAAAATTATATTTACCCCGAAATCATTACCGTATGGCAAAACATTCAATATGTTTGTTATTTTCGAAATGCCGAAATCAGCATGGGTATGCGTACTGGTAATTTTTATTGTAATTATTTTTGTTTGAGCTAAAATGGGTAATTTATAATATATCAGTAATACTTGTTACATTTATTATTCTCCTCTATAACACGAATAAAATTGAATGATGGCATCTCCTTTGGATTTGACGTTACGTTTAGTAGGATCTACGGCAAAAACGTCGTTTCTGATGAAGTGAAAATCTTAGGTGTTAAAACTTTTTTTATATTAATAACTTCTCGGTAATTTACTTTAATAAATATATTTATTGTATAATTAATAATAAAATTGTGCTCAATGTATATCTATAGTTTCGGTGTAAAAATTAAATCAATGTGGGCCCGCTGGAGAGCATACTCACCAGAGGACCTACTAGGATAATTCTGTTACTAAAAGCTTTTCAAATTCATTAATGGACCCTAAAATGTATAATAAATATCTAAAAATCTCCTAGTCTATTTTAAATTTCCTTCCGTAACACTAGAGGAGCGCCTGGTAAAATGGTTATGGCAGTCATCTTTTCTCGGAACCGTTATTATTGTGAAGACTACGACATGTTCGTAGAATTGGGGTAAAATAAAACACAAAGTTTCAATAACTAAAGTTATTGTATTACACAGTAAAAAAATATATTACAATTGTTTCTTAATAATTAACCGTAGAGACATTTAAGAGTTTATTCAGATTATCTAAGTTTTAGCGATTTTTACGTATGCTTATTCCATGTCTCTAAGCTCTCTATAAGAGTTTATATAAAACAACATCCTTCCCCATTTTAAAATTACATAAATGTATTACTTACTTATCTTAATACTTATAATAAACGTATTAAAACTTTATTTTGTGTTTAATTTTACCCCAATTCTACGAACATGTAGTCTATACCTACAAATAACTAAAACTGTAATGTCAAAACAATAGTTTTTCATGCTTACAAGGTTATTGCACGATACCTATGCCTAAAAACTATGTATCTGAAGGCCAATTCTCCAAGGTATTTTCGTAGTAAAGTATTAAACGTCCAAAATTGACTGTAATGTGATTATATAGTTTTGTAACGGAAAATTACATCGGTAATCTGCTAGTCTTAGTAATACTGTACTACGAAAATACTTTAATGGCAGTTGTAAGATCAAAACACAGACTGCTGAGTGCACACATCGACACGCTCCCGACGGCAGCGGTTTAGCGTGGCGATTGGTTGAGATTTCAATGCGGGCCAATCGTCGCGCCGGACGCGGTCACCGTGACGTTCCAACAACAACAAGCAGTGAATAAGCCTAGACGCACACATTAACGATAAATTATATTTTACACATAAAAAATCTTACGCTAATTCGTCCCACATGATTTATTGATTATAAATCCTAAACGCCACTTACAATGTTCCTAAATACAACCTTAAAACCTTCAAAATAAGGTAGCGTTTCAAGCGACCTGTATTGTTCTAGAGGCAGATCGTCAAGACACCGTAGTGATGTAGTACTTTTATAATTTAGTCATTAAATTATTTATTTGACTGTGTCGCACATCACTATTCATGAACATTTTATTGTAAAATAATATTATTCTTGTTTACAAAATATGTAATATATTCAATAACCATAAAACAGAATGAAATAATGTTATTGAAATATAATGTGTTGAAAATATTTCTTGAACCTCAAATAAAGTGTATTTATTGAATAATTGCCGTTTTGTGTCTTTCAATATTTTACTACCGTAGTAGATAAAAGGAGTAACTTAGGCTATGTTTCCTCTTAGAAAAACCCTATAAATTTTGCCCGGTCCGGGAATCGAATCCGAGGCCTCATGGACCGCAGTCGTGTACCGTACTACACTACTAAGGCAGCGCTTTTAGAAGCGAACGTAGTTGCGGGTACCAGGGTTGCGGGGCTTCATAATAAAAAAAAAAAAAGTCGTATACCATAACCTTTGTACCAAGCGCTTCTCTGATGTTCCGGAAGGAAGTGGGCGTAAATTGGTATAGACCAAACTTTTTTCTTTTATTTCTTTTTAAAAATACTAAAGACCCGCACTAGGAATAAATCCTGTGTCGCGGTTGACTTTACAAACATACATGAAACGGACACAAAGAACACCCAGACTCAGAACAACAATTTGTGGATCACACAAAGTGTCGTCCCATGTGGGGATCGGACCCACAACACTCAGCGTAGTACTGAGTGGCGTGGCGACCGCTTAAACCAATTACGCCATCCGTGAAAACTAAATATCAAATAGACTGTAGAAGATTTGGACGTGGGACGAGACTTTGTGTGATTCACAAATTGTTGTTCTGAGTCTGGGTGTTCTTTGTGTCCGTTTCATGTATGTTTGTAAAGTCCCCCGCGAGACAGGATATATTCCTAATGCGGCATTTGTCTTTTAAGAAAAAAGAAATGACAACATGTATCAAAAAATGTAAAAAAATACTACATTTTGTACAAATATTAAATAATCATCATCATCAACAGCCTTTATTAGTTCACTGTTGGACTTTGGCCTCGCCTTAGAAAGTATAAAAAAATGTACTATACTTTATAATAATAATATTTCGGACATTTTACACAACGCTAGAAAACTGATTTAAAAAAAATAATTAAATACGTACATATTATACATAGAAAACATCCAAACTCCGAAAAAAACATTAGCACATTTGGTCCGACCCGGGAATCTAACTCGAGACCTCAGAACAGCAGTCGCATACGCTACCACTGCACCAACGAGGCAGTCAGTCCAACATGAATTTCCATTACTAATGATTCTCAGTTTAATTACAGTACAGTTTAATTTCTTACTGGGACTTCCCGAGTGTCATAACTCGGTGTGTTCGTGGGTCACTGAGTGGCGGGCGTGTGGGTGGGATTAGTCCCAAAAAAAAAACACTTTCAATTTTGTTCTTGACACATTCCATCAACAAACGTTCCAAGTCTTCTAGCCGATTACATACATTACATTTTATCATGTTCAATTCGACTTAGTACATTATATTAAGTAATAAATAATACCTCAAGGATAAAACCTTTACCGTGGGAGAGTCATGCTTCGAGTTAGTAAGCTTACCATATTGCAACTTATTAATTCTGTTAAAAAACCTTCACTCAGGAAGCAGCTTCTT